TGTGGGGTGTGGGTGTGGGTGTGGGTGTGGGTGGGTGTGGGTGGGTGTGGGTGGGTGTGGGTGTGGGTGTGTGGGTGGCTATCTGGGTGTGGGGTGTGGGTGGGTGTGGGTGTGGGTGTGGGTGTGGGTGTGTGGGTGTGGGTGTGCGTGTGAGATTAAGAAAATAGAAGACCCACACCCACACCCACGCCCACACCACACCCATCTCATATATTCATATGCAAGATCATGGCCAAAATGTATTAGTATAGTTATTTAGAAATCATATGATCTAAGCCATTATCTATTTCATGATAGAGAAATCGTGAGTATTTTTTTAGTAACTTTTAATAGAAATGAGATAGTCAAGTGCGATTTTCACCATGAGAAAGAGGAAATAACGGTGTACCAAATCGTATATTAGATAATTTTGTTGGCAATTTTTCTAGAAGTTTTCAATGGCGTTTTACGGAAATCAGTATACTTCTCCAAGTTATTATAGTGAGTTTTTGATTTTGAGGGATGCATTAGAAACATAAATCGAATATGTACAAAACTGTGCCAATTCCAGATGCTTTACCTAAATCGTTTCTCTATATTTTCAAGAAAATTTTGTTTGCCAATTGATTCGAACGCTAGATATTCTTAGAGAATTTCAAGCGAACGTTCTGATGAAGATGAAAGAAAAATCTATAATATATCATTCGACGCCTCATTATCTCCACTTTCCAATAGTACAAATTATTTCTACACGAAAGAGTTCTTTATATTACTGTAATGACTTTCTGATAGAGAACATATTGATTCAGATGGATTTATATGCATTATTCCCTTTCTTCGTATCATGAATGCGCTGCATATTCATACATAAGTGTGGGTGGGTGTGAACTATCTTTGCTATGAAAACTCGCAGGATACAATGTTACAACTGATACTTCTATAATGAAAGTATGATCTAGATAAAATTTACTTTTTTAGACATTTACAAACACATATAACATCATTGTTGACAAGAAGCTGAGTACATAGGACGGACACTTTGAATAAAACAACACCAAAAGTAATTCAAGTCTTAGCTAATTTTATAAATCACTATTCTTTTTGTTTTATTATCTCTGTATCTTTCTTCAGAATGATCTGAAAAAGGTAAATCTTGAAGATGAAAGTTTTGAAGAATCGCCAACTTGGGCTATCGTCATTACTATACTCAGTTTTACTCTACATACTGCACTCGGATGGTTTCGTGATTTTCTTCGTTATATTGGCTTGGAAGAGAAAAAAACTGCTATAGATCCAAATTCAAAGATTCTTAAAAGCTTAATAGAAAATCAATTATGAATATTTTGCTTCATAGAATTTTGTACCACTCTGTCAAAGTTTCGAGTGCTTCTATACACGTAATCTCTATAAACGTCTTCGTGATGTATTCAATCAACCCATTGCAAGTATAGCTGGACCTATAGTCAATGTAATGGAACCTGTTACAGATGATTACAATTGGACATTCAGGTGAGTGTAAATAAGAAAGTCAATAACAAAAAAGAATAACAAGCTCATATATTTATCTTCATTGCTATAGATTTACTGGCAGAAATATACCGGCCATCAATTTGGGATCATACAATTATTTAGGTTTTGCCGAAAGTAATGGTCCATGTGCAGAAGCAGGTATAAGATCAATTGAACAGTATGGTATTACGACATGTAGTACTCGTCATGAATTAGGTAGGGTCTTCTTTGTATAAACTACTAAATTAAATCAATCTATATATTCATAGGAAACCAACAGTATATGATTACTCTAGAAAAAATGGTGGCAGATTATCTAGGCGTTGAAGATTGTATTACTTTTGGTATGGGCTTTGCTACAATTGCATTGAACATTCCAGCAATAATGGGCAAAGTATAAAACCATCACCTTGTCTTTTTTTTGTCATAAAACATTTTTTTTGTAATAGGGTGATCTTATACTAAGTGACAAACTTAATCATGTTTCAATTATTCTTGGTTCTCGTCTATCTGGTGCACATATTCTCAGATTCAATCATAATGGTATGTATTCATAGTTGATATGATCGATTTTGATTCAATTTGATCTTTTAAAAATAAAAAAATATTTCTCGTCTTTCTTCATTGTATCAATAGGTTTTAGACATGTTAAAATTCTCAACTTGAAATCTAAATATACATGTTTAAGTTAGGCAAGTAAAAACAAAAAGATATTATTACTATGTAGATAAACTATGATCTTCGTTCGTCTTATATCCTTAATACATATACTTTGATAATATTTGTATGGATAGATCCATATATCAGTTTTTCAAGTTACCATGAAAATAAATTTATTGATTCCCTTTTCTCACTACATATTATTTATATCTTCTCATAACACAGGATAGACAGAGTGACTTTAAAAACATGTTTGTGACCGATACACAAACAGATATACAGACACAATGGAGTTCATTTCTGATTCCAGGTTCTAAGTCTTTCAGCCCAAAAAATCCAAAGTCGAAAAGTATGAAGAAACTGAATATTTTCGAGTGCATTTATTAGTGCCAGTCTTTTATTTATTTTATCTAATAGCATATGTGATTAGAGCGTGAAACATTGCATTTAATCATTATAGTCTCATTGAAGTTCAAAAATGTTTACTGTAGTAAGAACATCAGAAAAAGGTACCATACATTTCTCCTGTTCTAACGTTGATCGTATTTCATTGTTTTTTTATAAATAGATCAGCCTTTCTAACGATACTTTTTCGTCCGAATCGTGATAGACCCATTAAAGTTAGACCTAGAAAGTGCATTTTGAACTTCTTATGGACCAGTTTATGCGCGAGAGAAGACCACAAAACTCAGTTTTCATATTATGGTGATTGTTATTCATTTTTTTTGGCTGTATACATTATATTTTACAAAGGAAACGACAATATTGTAAAACTCTTGTGTTTTTATTATATTCATTTTTAGACATGCAAGATTTAGAATATCAATTACGTGACGCCATTGTTCATGGTCAACCAAGAAGATTTCGGCCATGGAAAAGAATTGTGATCATTGTCGAAGGTATCTACAGGTAAATCGAATGATTTGTTCACGTGATTTCTTTAGTATTAACTGTATGAAATTTAAGTATGGAAGGTTCATTGTGTAAATTACCTGAAATAGTTGCCCTCAAGAAAAAATACAAAGCATATTTGTATATTGATGAAGCTCATTCAATTGGTACTATTGGTTCACATGGTCGTGGTGTTGTCGATTATTGCAATGTTGATCCGAAGGACATTGGTATACATATGGGTACATTTACAAAAAGTTTCGGTTCTGCTGGAGGTTATATTGCTGGTAAAAAGGTATATGATATTCTTTTATATTAACTTGATTAAATTTAACTTTTTGCCTATAGTCTTTGATCGATTATATTCGAGTTCATTCGCACTCTGCATGTTATTCATCGAGCATGTCGGCACCTATTGTCTATCAAATTATCAGTGCTCTGAACATTATTACAGGTCGAGATGGAACTGATAATGGTAAGATATTAAAGTTTGAGTATTGCAAGAAAGAAAATTACAAAATGTACTATCTGATATCAGAATGATGAGATGTCATACGATAAGAATTATCTTAAATGTATTCGATATGAGTTTTTAGGTCAAAAACGTATTCAACAATTAGCTTGTAATGTTCATTATTTTCGTCGTCAACTTATCGATATGGGCTTTGTTGTATATGGAAATAAAGATTCGGCAGTGGTGGCAGTAATGCTCTTCCTACCGATTAGAATTGCGTATGAAATTATGCTATTATTTTCTTTTCGTTGTTTTATGATCATTGTTTCATTATATAGAGCTGTCAACCGAGAAATGTTGAAACGTGGATGTGCTGTAGTAACTGTAGGCTTTCCGGCTACTAAGATTAACGAACCACGTATACGATTTTGTCTATCAGCCAGTCATACCAAAGAAATGCTTGATCATGTAATAAAGAAAAGATCTGGCTGATGTAATTGAATAATTTTATTTTTCTTTTTTTTTTTTTATAGACTTTCAGAGCTTTCGATGAAGTGGGCTATATGACTGGACTTCAATGTTCAAAACGAAAACCACTACATCGTTTAGTTGATCTCAATCCTGAAGATTACCTCGAAGATTAATATTTTTATCATCTTAATACTTATCATTTATTGACAATAAACTATTTTTTTTTTGTTTCTTAAAGGACAAATGATATTAACACTAATCTAATGACTATTTTACATGTATATCCGAATAATCTTCAATAAAGGCAATTCTAAAAAACTTGTTTAAACAAACTCTAGTGTTTATTCTTACGAGGAGAAAAATTGAACAATGAAATTTCAATCTAAGATATTCACTTTTTAAAAAAAAAGGACAATCTTTCAGAACTTTATAGATTATGAAATAAGTTTTTAAGAATCAATATCTTTAGAAGAAAACATTTTTTTTCGCTGATACTCTTAGAGTGTTCTAATGATCACGAAAGCTACATATGAGCAAAATTTCAGATTGAAATCAGTAAAATGCTCTTAACCTTCGAAGAAAGGCCCATCGGCACAAACTCTCTTCGACTTTTTCTTAGAATACTTTTCTCGACATCTGGACAAAATATCATCGAAAATGACGTGGATTAGTTGGGCAAATAGTCGATTTTATTTTCTATAGCCATTCAAAACATCATTCAACTTTAACGAAGTATTGTCTAGCAACGGCATATTTTCCTACATAAATGACAAGGAAAGATTATTTCAATAGGAAATTTTCTTAGATCAATAAAGTACACGAATTTCTTGATAATTTCTTTATCGACATTCTCGACAGTTACAATGTCACAAATGAATGATGGAAAGAGGTGATAGCAAATATGATAAAATAAAAATTCAAGCGTATGTTTATTTTAAGAATTCCTACCTTGATAAACTTTAAACAGAAGAAAATTAAATCGGATAAGATAGTCACATTTAATAGAAAATTTTATTATGTATTGTAGTTAACGAATCTCTATCGATGAAAACAATGATGTGAAATCAGTATCAGATAATTCAAGAAAAACAAATATTGAAGTAGGAATGCTATGCTTGTAGCTGAGATCCACAAATATTTGAGCTTATTTTTATTTTTAAGAGTAAGCAAGACACATCATTTATATCCTTAAAATTACCAAAGTAAATGCCAGAGAATTTTAGAGAATGAAGGTGACTATTCTTGGTTATTGCAAGTTTAGTGTAATTTGTTAATACTATTTGTACCCGTACATCTAACATTTTAGAGGTTGGTAATTAGTCGATGGTCGAATAAGTAAAGGTTCTTATCTAACCTTTACTTTGTCATTAGATTATTTTTCAGGTAATTTACTCGAATGTAAATATAAATTAATATTTTACTTTCCTCTACGTTTAACAAAAAAACGTGAAATGAGAGAATATTATGTACCACCAATCAACACTCATTGAAGTGGTGATATTTTCGATTAAAATACATGACTTCTTCTTGAATCTATAAAGATAGTTTGTGAAATAAAGACACATCTATTGTGTTATCAGATTTGTTTACTAAAATAGTATTA